GGTTAACTTCTCGTCCAAATTAAAATTATTATTCAATATATAAAGTTTCGACATCCCGCCTGAAAAACAAATCCTTGATCTCTCCTAAAGCTTAATAAATGGACAGCACAAAGTGCGTAGGATCTTATACTTATTATTGCCCTAAGAGATGGCTACAGAGTGAGAGAGAGAGAGAGGGAGAGAAAGAAAGAGAGAGTTCAATATACAAAAGAGTAAATAAAAATTATCCGTATTCAACCAGTGTCAAGACTCTCTACCCTAGCTTTTAAAATTATCTCCCAAATACTCCTACAGAAATTATTTTTAAATATAAAAAAAAAAAAATAGCTAGACTATCAGGCAGGGATACTGAAATCTCGAAAGTCTCTCTTTAACACCATAATTATAAAACATTTATACATACCTCAAAATGCACATACTTTGTGGTCGGAGTGACACATTTAAAAAAATTTTTTCAAAATTGAATTCGGCAGAGATGTCTGTCTTCCAAGAATATTTAGATTACGGTCATGTCAATTTATTTTTGCACCCCCCCCCCCCCCCCCCCCGCCTAAAAAATCAAATGCCTAAATGTCAATCTGAACAGGGGGTGGCATTTCTTCGTGTGTTTGTGTGTTCAAGAACGTATAGATCTATGTACACATAAAAAAAATGTATTCTGGTTAATTGCTTTTAAGATTTGAAGTAAATAATTACCGTACATCAAATTACTTGGTTTAGATTTGAGATTAGTACTATAATAATCAGTTATAATTGACAAATGAATTTTGCGACGCAAACCAACTGCAGACTATATACATGACTTTGTATAGAATGTATATTAGAACTACATGTAGATAGACAATTCACAATTATAGCTTATGAACAGCAGTTATAATACCCCCCCCCCCTTCAGCCGCGCAAATACCAAATAACTTCTCTTTCCACTTGTGATATTTTCCCTGACCAAAATCTGATCAGCACCGTGAGCACGGACTAGGTGTATCGACGTGCTTGTCTGTACGGAGTAATGACAGTGTGTTTACTATTGAGCTTTTACGGAGTTTATTTCTTTTTTGTGATGCATATTTCAATAAAGGAATTCAGGGTGCATATCACTTGACTTGTGCATATCTTCGAACCGATGCAGTAACCTCATTACCAGGTATGGGTACGTTTACAGCGTTCGAGGCGTTTTCTCGATATGCACCAATTGCATAGGGGCTGCAAATCAAAGACGTTGGTTGTTTTGTGCCATTCAAATGATAATAATTTTAAAATGTGTTTGCAGATTTCACTGCTTTTTATTTCAAGTTTATTCTGCATAAATTGGCGCACTGTAAAAATACGTACTCGTGCATCTAAATTTCTCACCAAACTTGCATTTTTTTCTTTTGATTCAAATCAATAATTATTCAGAAATATGATTGTTACTTTGTTTATTGTGGTTTTGAAATGTCTTGATCTCCTTATGTGTTCTCATATATGCTTTACCATCGGAGATGTGCACAAGTCGATACCCAAACCAAAAAATCATTCAACTGTAACGAGCGCATTGGGGTATACATTGTTACAATGAGACAAGGTATCTGAAAGAAATATGGCGGAATACGGCTATCGTTGGTATGAAACAAGTCGTACATAGATGAAAATGTTGCGTTTTTAAGAATTCATGTCAGCTTTAAGCAAATCTTTATCTTGAACTTCTGTAAGAAACATATACTAACCATTCTTGCATAACCTGCAAGTATCCATGTACTATAATCATAATCATTTTAAATTAGTACACTTGAAATTTTAGCATTAGACCTCTTCAACAACTGAATTAGCATTAACGTAATAAATAAGCAAATCTGGAGCAAATTATAAGCTTATAGTTCTATCCCCAAAAATTTGTTTCTAGATCCTATAGTGAGTGTGTACTAGGGGTAAGAAGAGTGTAAAAAATGCTTATTGAAAATATTAATACCTCCGGTATGTTAATTTACATGATACATGTAATTCAGTCTTAGTACTAAAATATTTGTGTCACTGTTGACTATCCATGGCTTTAAACATTTTGGAAGTAAAAGTGTAAGAATAAGCATTACCCTAAAAAAACATAAATACCTTATGTGAATAATGTTTCCCTTCAAATGTCAGAAAGTTGAGTCATAAAAATCATTTTTTGGGTATTCAAACAAAATAGATCTCTGAAATGGAAAGATGCACAGATGTTATAAGGGATGAATCTGTTCAGTGTTAAATTGTATCCTTGGATCTGACATAATAAAGTAATAAATAAACTTCACTGTCATTTTCCTTCACTGAGAAAATATACAGTTATTTACGATTATTCATAAATTATATGTTTCGTATCAAATTTATTATTAGTCTGTTTAAAACTAATAAAAATCACACATTAATCATTTATCATATGAATCTAGTTTAATAAATTTCCCAAGTTTCCGTGAAATTATAATCCTTAAAAAATTGAATTGATGCTGTACTTGTGAAAGTAAGATTTGAACAAGGAAATTTTTTAGCTTTAACAATTTTTACGTAATAAATAAATTTGAGTCTGAACTTTGCCATTAAGAACAACAATTTGCCAGATGTTTCTTGCAGTGATAAAAAAGAAGAAAAATTCCTGTATCATGCCATGGCAATTTTTTTCTAATTTAATGTAAAACACACCTGGATTGAAAAGCTGCATGGTTTCATGTTACAATATAAAAATCTTCAGTTTAATATATAGATATAAGAACATAAAACTGCAGGTACATTGTCATCAAATACATATAACTTTATTAAATACTATAAATATTGGTACATTTTTTTTTTACCTGAAATGACCTTTTGTTAGTGCATGATAATAAGAATCCAAGCAGGATGTTTGAGAATGTAACCTTACCAGGCCCCAGATGTGATGATATTTAATTCAGGACATAAATGTATATACCTCGGATTCATTCTTTGAGAGTTCTAGTTCTAGGTCATGGTAAATATTAGGTCATATTTATATATGCAAACGAGGGCACCCTTGCTAATAGCATCCATGATAAACTTTCTTAGAGGGAGATTACCCTGACCTCAAGTGTATAATAATTAACTCATTATTCAGAACATAAACATGATAGAGGATATGGTTAACTGTTTGTAAAATGTCTGATGTGCAGACAAATAGCAGAGTGTATACTGAGGTCATCAGTCGAGACTATAACCAGTGTGTATAATATATTAATATAGTACACACATCTACATATAATGAATAACGACAGGTCAGTTGGGTCAAATTGACCATGGATTTCTGAGTACACCTTAAAATACTGAACACTGACATTGCCACTTATTATAAGTGGTATCCGGAGTTGTTTTTGAGTGCATGGCTTTTAGAGAGCTTATTTATACATGTCAGGGTAAAACTGATTGGTTTGTACACACCTGTGAACATGTCAGTAATTGTGAAGTGCATTACTGTTGATTGCATGTTACTAGGGGTTATAGAGTATGAGTGATGTAAGCAATAATTATAAGGGTTGAAAATTGTATTGTTCAAAATCAAGGTCATGGTAATATGGAGAATGAAACTAGTCTAGAGTGTTTGAATGTGCACTAAATGAAATTGTGAACACAACATCAAGTAAAGATAAAAGGTGACTGTTTTAACGATTGTTTAATTAAAAAGTATATATATATGTATCAGTGTTTTCCCTTTATTTCAAAGTAAAGGGTTAGAGATCAGTTGTAACAGGCTAGGGGCTGAGGTTTATGAACAAAATCTCTGTGGATCTTACAACAAATTGTTATTTCAAAACAGCATTTTTGTCAATTGAAGCGGTCAATTTGGCTGGTTGCCGGTTCTTAGGGAAAACACTGTATATTTATTATGATTTGGTTTTAGATCATTACTTTTTAATGTAAATTTAAAAGAAAGTAACTCCAATTAGATTAATAATGTAATTGAACATAAAACAAAGAAAAACAAACTATAGTTGTGAGGAAAAAAATCCTGACTAACATGCATGCATACTTTATATTGTTTGGAAAATTATTATATAAATATAGCCCTTTGATGAGGTCGATCTATAGATATATCCACTTCACAGAAAAGCATATCGACCGAGCACAAAGTGCGAGGTCGATATGCTTTTCTGTGAAGTGGATATATCTATGGATCGACCGAATTAAAGGGCTATACATTTGTTATATTATTTTTCACATAGATTGACAAACAAAATGTGAAAATAATGGGAACAATTAAGGCACAACTTTTCTCTCTTTAGCACTTAGAGACAAGAGATCAAAATAAATTAAGCTATCTAATGTTGATGTGTTTTCTTTATATTGGTGGAGTAATTTAGAGGATTTACTTATTCAAAATACTTAATTTATTTTATTACATTTTGTATCAATTTTTGACAAACATATCCAATATGTTTTAAATAAAGTATATCACAATTCAAGGGTTCAAGACATTGTTATGTATCTTCAATTACGGAACATAAAAAAAATTAATACAAGTTGAAATAAATATTTTTTCAGAAACATCAAATCATATTCTGTATTAGGTATGATTGTGAAATCAGTACTATATTTGTTTTATAGAAAATTATCTCCATTTTAAGAAACATCAAGTCAATATGCATTTCAGATTCTATAAATAGTAACTCAAGTCTTTATGCTGTTATATACTTAATCATGTGATCAAGTTTGAGCCAATCAGAGAGCTTGGAATAAATGATAAAAATAATATTGATGCATATTTGGTCAATTTTATTTTTTAAAAAATCTCGAAATACTTGCAAATGCGTTGAATGCTATTTGTTATATAAAATAATAACAGATATTTTACATGCATGCCTGTAGGTAAATACACTTTCAATAGGTATATAAAACTAAGCTTTCACAGCCTATATCACAGGTTGATCAATACAATACTTTATCCCTGACCAGAGGAGATCAGGCCTCAGGTTTCAGTGTTTTAAAAAAATCCAATAAATGGGATGGAAATTGATAAGTTTGTGTCGGAATATTTGCAGGTGTCCTGAAACCATCAACCACATTATCCATCTTATACAAGACAATTCCTGTCTAACAGGCAAAGGACCTAGCGGGAAATAACAGGAAGATCACTGATCCTTCAACTGTCCTGGTAAGTATTTATAAGAAATGTATATTGTGTTCTTTTTTAGGTCATTAAGAAGAGCAAGAGTTCGAAATAATTATAAACGTGTTCCCATGTTTTAATTGATGTGCAACTTCACACATCATAAACAACGAAGTAAGACAATGAAGGGTTGTCCAATCAAATGAAGGCTCACACAATGTAATTTTGAACTTTATTTTTACATTCCCTGTATAATTTTTGAGTTCTGCCAATTGTAATTGAAGACTTTTTGGCAACTTTATATGATGCCTGGAAATGCTGTATATAATGCTGATATGAAAGAAATTTTTAGGAAGCACCAGCTGAAAATTATATTTTTTGCTAATTTTTCTTTAAAGAAAGCAGGGATTTTCATCATTTGTAATCTGTCCAGAAATGTTGTATTTTCTCTTGGAACATCTGTCACTGTTTTATGATTTTAATTAATTTAAGAATTATTTGAGGAAAAATCTTCAGGAATGGCCAGTATATTGTTAAGTATATGTACATGCATGTATTTATATGTTGCCTATGCACCTGTGTGCGACCACAGTGGATATTTTGCAATTTGTCCCCTTAAAAAATATGTACCAGAATTGCTTCCTTGATGATGGTCATTTCATTAACTGTATGCTAATTGTGAGGTTGAGACAAGGAAGAGATCCTAGTTTTCAAATGAAGAACAATAAATCCTTTCTGTGTGGTTTATTCTCTAGATTTCCTCAATCAGTTCCTGCACCTGCCTGCACAGCAGGACATTTTTGTGCCCTAATGGAGGTGTTGATTAATTTGTTTTTGAAGATAATGACATTTCTTTTAAAGACACTAATGAAAAAGGTCAGTCTATTTGCTTCAGTGTTTCATGACATTTCAGCTACTAGGTCTTTAATTAAGTGCCTGATGACAACAGTTCCATGTGGAGGGGGTTTGGGTTAAAATTTTTATTATGGTTCATGATCTCTGATGCTCACAAATTCACAAAGATTAGATTTCTTATCAGACAGTTTGTAAACAGCTTTCAAGTGTCAAGAGTGAGTAAAATTCAGATCTTTATGCATAGTCATTTGGAGGATCATTTTATCTGCACATGCATCTAGAATTTTGTCCATTTGCCTATTATCATTTGATCAGTATGGTAAATAGTATCAGACACCCAAGAGGTTATATCTAATCAATATACACTGGAACACACTACCAACAGTGTGTTTGGTTAGCTTTTCTTGCTTCTCAAATACAGAATTCGAGGTCATCCTTTCATTCCTTTAGATAGTCTGAGTGTATACTCCCGATATAAAATCTAGTAATCATATTTATTACAGAGACCCTTATCACTGGGGGATGAGTCATTTGTTGAGAATAACAGAATTCACATTTTCTAAGAGGTCAGAAAAAGATGGAGGAATTATTGACTAATTATAAGATATCATATGACAGAAATATGCTGGAAATGACTTACTGAAAGTAAATCAGGATTATCAAGATAGAATAACTAGATAGTTTAGTGTGGAATTAACAAAAAGGTTATAAAGCTTCTCTACCCAGGGGAGACATTATATGAATTAATGCAAGGAATTCTATCTCATTAACTCTAAGGTACCATGAATGCATTGGGAAGGGAAATGTGCAGTTGAAATCCATCATCCATTTAATTAAACAGGCAAAATCCACCTGTGTTTATTTTTTTAAAAAGGTTTAAAAGTTATCTTCAGTGTTGACTTAAAAATATCATTACAGGAACATGATAATATTGTGCAAATTATAATTCTATGCAGAGTCTTTAATTGAGAGTGTCAGATTCTCATAGGGTTGTCTATGTTATAGAAATGAAATGCTGTAAGAATTTTAACTGTATAATGTTTGCAATTTAATAGCTAGGTCATGTATTCTTTTTATGTTGGAAATTGTGCTGTATACAATGTTGTTTCATTAAGAAAATGAACTCTCAAAAAATGCATTTCTGAATCTGCATTAAAGCTCTTAATTTCTACTGGAGCATGCATGTTTTATAGGAATGTAATAGTCGGTAAAAGAAAATAAAAACACAACAGTAAAGTATTTAAGCTGTCAAAGGCTGTTGGATAAAATTGTCGAATTTCCCTCAGCTTTTCATTCAAGCATTTTGAGATTTAAAATATTATTTACACAACTTCTTTGTGACTGGAAGAGATGATTACAGGGGGTTATGAGTCAGAATCTCAGGACAACCTGAAAATCTTTGTCAACTTGATCAAAGTCATTAATTCTCCATTACTCTCTGTTGACTTACTCTATTTTCTTGTTTTGTCTTCTATTGCAGAGCAGGAAAGGAACTCTCAACAGTGAAGAGGGACTTTAGAAGATTAGTCTTTGTGTACAATTGTTGACATATATAGATGATTGAATAAGGTTTGTGTAATATTTGATATCAGATCTTTCAAAGCAGTAAGTTACTGTGCAGTTTGAGACTAAATGGGGACAAACGGGAAATGGTCATCTGATCAACACCCTCATCCTCAACACCCCCCCCCCTCAATTCTTATAAGCTTCATTTTTCTAAATTTATGGTTTGTCTACAGTGGTGTAGCTAGCTTATCTAAAAAAAAAAAAGCCTTGTAAACTCTATATGAAGGAACAAAGTAATGTATTTATATGGCTGACTTAATAATTGTTTTATCATTAAAACAAGGCCAAACAAATTGATTAGAGAAACTTGGACTGGTGAGGTAGGAAATCTATATCCATGCAGGAGAAATATTATCTAAGACAAAAAATTTATACCTTAATCATTGATGTGTATAGAAGTAATGTTTGGTTGTTCATTCTAAAGAAAATTTAGGACACAATTATTGTGTCTTAAAAGTATTGGTACGTAAACAAAATTGTTCTCAGACAGTTAGGCTATTTGGACTTGGAAAGTAATGTTTTAGCGGAGATTTGTCAATACATTATACTGAATGAGGGAGTGTTGATGGATTCATTCATTCATAACTGTCATTATGACAACGTTATGTAATAAAACCGTTCTTTTGTGATTCGGTCAATGGCATTCCCTATTGAATATTCATGAATTACGATCCCTGCTGACAGCCAATATACATTTACACCTGTGTCGCAATTAACACCTACTACCAAGGAGTAGAGGTGTTTTAAATTACGACTTTCGTTTTTGAAATCAACCGGTTGTTAGTCACAGAATTTCATTCACCTACAAGATAAACAAGAATTAAAGCAACTGAAGGTTCTCCTGTAGGTGGAGTAGAGATAAATTGTAAAGGAGGACTTCTGTGTAAGAAAAAGAACATTTCAATTTATTTCTGTTAAGTGTTCTTTTAATGTTTTTCAGTTTTGTGGATTTACATGTAGATGTGTCTTATCCAGGGTGTTGGATAAGGAGAAAATAATAGACAGAAGAGAAAAATAATAGTGGATTGAAGATAGTTCATTGTTGGATTCTGTTTAAACAGAGATGCAGGTACGTAATTACATTAATTAAATCATGTAATTTCTTTGGTACATATATGAAATATGTATATATTTTTTTTTATATAACTCACATTTCACTGATTTTTTCTTGTGACTAAGACTAGTATTTTAGACCTGAGAATGGAGTAGGAAAAAGAATAAGCATCGGGTGTATGTTTTATTATTTATTTCGCCTGTTACATTCATCCAGTTTTACATTTTATTTTCTTTCTGTCAAGACCAACTGTGGTTTTTACTTTATTCCTAAAAGTAGTATTGATTGTAATTGTATTCACAACTAGATTAAGAGATGTAATGACTTACCATAATTTATTAACTTCACCATAATTAAGTTGTCATGTACAAAGTACACAATGTTGATCTCCTTATACAGTTTACGGTTAATGAAACACACCTTTATTGGAACAGTTTATGATTTTCTTTTCATTAAGGATTTTCTTTGGCACAGAAGAAATTAGGTGTGTAACATATATCTGTATGTAGGCGTGCAGTAATGTGCACATAATGCAGGGAAGAGAGTTAAAAAACACTCCACTATTTACTCTGTGGGCAAGATCAGCTGTTAATGTGCATAAGTAAATCCAAATATAGGTGTATTAATCCACTCTGGAGTGGACCTTTAAAATATGGATATAGATTAATTGGTCAAGAGCTCTCAATATTTGGCCAATATATCTTTCATTGCTCCACAGTGGCTAGTAAATATATAGACAATATTACCTGCACTGCGTATTATAAAACTGGTTATATTAGGCTGAGCTGAACGTGTTTTGTTTGTGGTGTTAAGTTTGTATTGTATGGAGCTTGTTGAATTCTGCTTTGTTCCTTTGTATATTCAGAGAGGATTTTAAGGTTAGATGGTTTGTTAAGATTAGTCTATTTTTTTTTCTTTTATTTTTAGATAGTTTCATTTTGTTTTCTTTGGACTACAAGCTAGATGATTTGCGATTTTTTTCTTTTATTTATATGTAGAAGTAAGTGAAGTAGTTCTGCATACACTTTTCAGTATTTTTTGAACCAATGATTTATTTTTTCATAAATCTATTCAAAGCACAATAGATTGCATTCCTATCCTTTGTCAGTATCAGGTGTTATATAAACATTTTCGTTTTAGTCTGTGCCCGTGGTATATAGTTTTGATTGACATGTTTGAAATGTTTGTTATTCCATTTAAAAAGGTTAATTGACATGTTGATATCAATTATGCACTAATTAAATGGCTATGGTACGATCCATTCATAATAAACAGTGCTGTTAGCTACCTGAATAATTATCTATTAATTGGCCTATGTCCAGTACGAGTTAATTAGTGTACATAAGTTTACATGTACAGTGTTATGGAGACAGCTCTGTTAATTTTTGGTCAATGGGCAATAATGCGGTGATTTACAATGACTGGTCAGTCATACGTTTATAAGTATTAGTGCTGAGTGAACCCTATGTTATTCAGTCAGGGAGGTGGGGTGACTGTCAAGGTAATGTTTTTTTCTTTTACAAAGATCTCTGAATCTGGCTATTAAATTCAAGTTGATTAAAATTAATTATCTCACTTATGTGCATATCAAGGGTTTCCAAAGGGATTTTTGTCATTCAATCATTTCTGTATTAATTTGTAATAATAAATTTAAATGACTTTTAAATTTATGTATTTTTTCAATCTTCTTTTTTGTTGTAACTTTAAGAAATATTTATTTAAAGAATTCTCTAAAAAAAAAAAAAAAGCATATATCTGTTTATTGGAAGATGATTAAAAAAAAAAAATTATAGTTCAAACCTCATTATATCAAAGGGACCAAGAAAAAATTGAGGGTTTGAGATATCCAGGGTAAAATAAAAATTAAGGAATTAGTAATTAGAACTTGAGAATGACTTTGACATATCCATGGTATTCGAGATACTGAAGTTCTATCAAGTTCAACTGTACTTATCTCGTGTATGTTTTGCATATGTCATTATTATCAGTATCTGTGACCTTTTTGCCATAAAGAAGACAGATACCTAGTGCTATTAGAATAACTGTAAGTGACTTTTATTTCTGTGCAGCGTCAATCAAAGAGAAAAAAATCTGTGAAGTGTACTATACACCACGCAAAACTGTGTTTGAGACTTACCTAGGTTGATGTATGACAGTCATAAATGTTGCATTGAGCAAGTAAAATGCAACCTTAAAACGTAGAATGACTGAAATGAAAAAGTATTATCTTGTTTGGTAATTGGAGAAGGGTGGGAGATTGCTGAATTGTCCACAATCATGCATTCCTATGGACATTTGTTTTTCATAATCTTCTGTATTGACATTTTTGATGTTTCCACTATTATATAATTTTTGCCGTTGTTGTCATATATTGTATGGATTTTTCACATAGTGACAGATGAATAAATGACAACAATTGCAATCTGGAAAAATGACTTTAATTTACAGACTGCATGCCGTGATGCATCAGAGTCAAGAGAACCTGAAAGATACGAGACAGATTATTGTTATGTAATCACACATGGTGGGTGCATTTCTGTCCGGTTAAAATAAATTATAATTCCCCTTTTCCTTAATGTCTTTTGCTTCGTTTTGACATTTTATACATGTAATGATGTGTAGAGTTACGAGAAGAAATTATAAAACCTTATTATTATTTCTTTAATTAAAAAAAATTCAGTTTAATCTAGTCCATGTAAAATTTGTGGTATGAAATCCTAAAGTAATACGAAAATTGTAGACAGGACGTAAATGCTTTATTTAAATGAACAATTGAAAATTTCAAAGGTGTGTAATGTCATTTAGCTTAAATCTAAGGTTAGCTGAAGAATTTTGTCTGTACTTTTTTTTTTTTACCTTCCTTATCTTTCCAAATTAAACCTTTAATTTGTCTATTATCAGCAGTCAGTAGGGTTCCTACTTTCTAAAGTCTGTCTAGCGTAATGTTTTGACATCAAGAAGCAAGAAATCGCTGTAGGTGCACATTCCCTTATGCATGTTTTG